AAATCATCATAATTAACGGTTGGCAGCGATGACGATTCATTTTGTGTTTCGTAGGTGAGCTCGGCATTTAAATAAGTTCCCTGTGCGCGATAAAAGCGGCGTCATAGTGCGAGAATATTGATGGATCACGATCGCATATTCGTGGCAACCAACGTTTGTTATTTAATGACTAAAGCGAGATGAGAGTGCTCTTTTTTATATAAAGCGATGTGACGATACAAAGAAAATGTCTTGAAACTGTTGCGTTCTTTTCCAATCAAAGATTTTTCGTACTGTAATCGATTATATAATCGTTTTGTTCTTCTTATTTTGGTTTAAACTTAATCGAAAGATTAATTAACTATTAAATAAACATTTAATATTCAAAGTTGGAGATGTTTGCTGTGAATTTTATAAATAATAAAACTATAATCTCTCTCTCTCTCTCTCTCTCTCTCTCTCTCTCTCTCTCTCTCTCTCTTTTTAAAGTTTTTTTTTTTGCTATAAAGTTATTCAAATCATTTAATCTCACAATTTTATTTCTTAATAATAAGTATTTTTGGAATTTTGATCAATGCTATAATTTCAAAGTTATCATAAATGATAATTTTCTATAAAAATTGAGCTAAAAAAATTAATCCGGAATTTGTCAAATAATCTTTGATTGAATAAACATGTAGATGAAAAATCCCGAAATAAATTTAGAATTTTGATTCTTTGATCATTGGGTCCTTTGGATCGTCAAGTTCCTATATCGAATTGATAACGTATAGTACTATATCAGTACTTCACGCACGTGTAATACGCAGTTACATATCGCCAAGTCAAAATGTATTAAAACGCGCGCTGGATGATATTTTCGATATGATTAACTGCTATGTAGTTGGCATCCCAATAATTGAGATATTGCAAATCTTATACTCGATTAAACAGTTTACGTATAATGTTATTGCAGTCTACTGTGCGTATGCTATTATCAATTACGGAGAATAAATTGTGTTACATCAACATTAATTTATTACGAAATACATGACGCAATATCTGTAGAGAGAAAATTACTTATATAACATATATCCCAAGATTGAAGCCTTAGTCATAACAGCGATTGTTAATTATAGATCGTAAATTTTCAAAGAATGGTGACACATACGCTTTGATCGTTATATTTATCATACATCTATGACTTATATTGCCATATATGGTTTCAGAATAAATTTTTTTTAAAATATGAGGTTTATTGATTTGAAAACTTTTAAAAATATTTATTAAAATAATAGTTATTAAATGTCATTGAAAAGCATTTGCAAATTAACAAAGGCTCATGAGAAATGTATTATAGAAACTAACGACTCATGAAATCCAAATCACATGCAAGATATTCGTGTGAGTCAATCTCCATTTTAAAGTCAATCACGCAAAGATCTTGACCCGACACTCGATTGAACTTAGACTCTATTGAAATCGTAAATAGTTGTCATGGAAATAAGATGTGCATGAAAAATATAAAACCATCGCTATTTGCAAAATATTCGTAATATTAATCGATACCATGAGAAATGTAACACCAGAACGCATTTTAATACTCTTTGTGAATTTTATTACAATTTCAACTGTATAATAGCAAATGTAAGATTGCATTTATACCAAATACGTCAAATATCTCATGCAATAAATGAGATTTAATTTTTAAAACTAAAAATTGCTGAGATATCTGCAATAATATAACTTATTAAACAAAGTTGTGACAACTGATAATCTTCTATCTAGTTATTGCAGGAAAAGACTGACTTGAAATTTGTCATGTAATATGTAGTTAATGCATGAGATATATTTTTTGTATAATATAGCAATTTAAAGATCAAAAATCGATACAAAGAACGTAGGTCGTAAGTGTTACTATTTTAATGAGTCTGATAAGAATTTGCGATACACAATGTTTTCACTTCATTTTATACACTTAATATATTATTAATGTATATAGAAAATATTCTATATACTTATATAAAATACCAAATATAATTTTTAATTAAAAGTGCAATAATTATATTATCAGATAAGAAGACGTAGTTTTAAATATAAGATCAGTTTTATGGTTTTTTCTGACGCAAGAAATAGGATCAGCTAAATATGTAAACGATGTGTGTCTGAAGTTCGTAATAACATCTAACCAGTAATACGGTAGCTTGTGTCTAATATTATTTAACTTTTCTGAAGTAGTAGCCGAAACAGGCAGTAATGATTGGCGACTAATTACGGGATTAAAATTCAGGCACGTACCATCTACTTTTGAAAAATATTCCAGCAGTCGTAACTTGTGTGACAACTAGTTAGATAGAACAACTTTAATTAAAAAGACTATTAAGTTTATCTTGTAGTTTTATGAGAAAACCTCTCACACAAGCAGTTCCACCAATAAAGTTTATTTTTATTTTTAGAAAGATTTTATTATCACATATCATATGTTAATTTTAATCCAGTTATGAAAATTAATTGGTGAATACAAGTTTAATCTTGTGTTATAAGTGACAGATAATATATTCTTATAAGGATGTTTAATTTTTGTTGCATCACACAGAGAAAGATAAGATAAAATTGATTATAAATTTATATCTATATTTATACAAATACATTTATAAATTTTGAGAAAGATAAAATGTTGAATAAATAAGTTGTTGACAGTCGCAGTGCAGTTTCAACCTTTGTAAATAATGTAGCAATTATCTACAATTTTCTTTCGTGTAATTATAATAATATAGATATTTTAAAATTTTTTCGTAAACTTCTTCGCAGAAATTTTCCATAATAGTTTGTTGTTCAAAGCAATAATACTTTATTTTACTTGAGTATTATATTTTATTTTATAGTTCCTTTTTCCATCTATATTTATGCTAGATTCCGTTGCGACTCACAGTATACTGCACTATACTGCAACTCTCTTGTAGAGTCATAAATTTACTTTTTAGAATTTCTATTTAACCTTATACAAGTCTTATAGATGGCTGATCTTGCAAATCCTTTTATCCGCGAATACTCCAAGAGTTGCGAGCCCAGGGAACAAAGGTATAATTAACTAATGCAAAAATGATATATCGCGGGCGACTGTTCGGGCGAATGAAAAGCGGTTACAAGGG